AAGTACAGGTATTTGGGTTCAAAATGTGAGAAGTAGAAAGTACAGGTATTGTGTTCAAAATGTAAGAAGTAGAAAGTACAAGGTATTTGTGTTCAACATGTAGAAGTAGAAAGTACAGGTATTGGGTTCAAAATGTAGAAGTTAGAAAGTACAGGTATTTGTGTTCAACATGTAAGAAGTAGAAAATACAGGTATTTGGGTTCAAAATGGAAGAAGTAGAAAGTACAGGTATTTGTGTTCAAAATGTAAGAAGTAGAAAGTACAGGTATTTGGGTTCAAAATGTAAGAAGTAGAAAGTACAGGTATTTGTGTTCAAAATGTAAGAAGTAGAAAGTACAGGTATTGTGTTCAAACATGTAAGAAGTAGAAGTACAGGTATTTGTGTTCAAAATGTAAGAAGTAGAAAGTACAGGTATTTGTGTTCAACATGTAAGAAGTAGAAAGTACAGGTATTTGAGTTCAACATGTGAGAAGTAGAAAGTACAGGTATTTGTGTTCAAAATGTAAGAAGTAGAAAGTACAGGTATTTGTGTTCAACATGTAAGAAGTAGAAAGTACAGGTATTTGGGTTCAAAATGTAAGAAGTAGAAAGTACAGGTATTTGTGTTCAACATGTAAGAAGTAGAAAATACAGGTATTTGGGTTCAAAATGGAAGAAGTAGAAAGTACAGGTATTTGTGTTCAAAATGTAAGAAGTAGAAAGTACAGGTATTGTGTTCAACATGTAAGAAGTAGAAAGTACAGGTATTTGTGTTCAAAATGTAAGAAGTAGAAAGTACAGGTATTTGTGTTCAACATGTAAGAAGTAGAAAGTACAGGTATTTGAGTTCAACATGTGAGAAGTAGAAAGTACAGGTATTTGTGTTCAAAATGTAAGAAGTAGAAAGTACAGGTATTTGAGTTCAACATGTGAGAAGTTGAAAGTACAGGTATTTGAGTTCAAAATGTAAGAAGTAGAAAGTACAGGTATTTGAGTTCAACATGTAAGAAGTAGAAAGTACAGGTATTTGGGTTCAAAATGTGAGAAGTAGAAAGTACAGGTATTTGGGTTCAAAATGTAAGAAGTAGAAAGTACAGGAGTAGTTATACATATACCCTTTCCATCACATTAGTATGCATAAAAAGTGACAGGTGCTGTGACAGGTCACACCTACTACTACTTATGCTAATGAGCCCCTTTAATATGCTAATGAGCCCCTTTTTTCCAGGTGTTATCGCGTGTAGGTGTGATATCACAGATAGGTGTGATATCCTTTGATGTGAAGGGGGTGAGGTGTTGTAACATGTAGGTGTGATATTCCCCCTTGTAGTAGATCCTTTGTTGTCTAATCTAATTAGCCTTTGATGTCTGCCCTTTGTTGTCTAATCTAATTACCCTTTGATGTCTGTGCTTTGATGTGAGGGGGGTGAGGTGTTGTAACATGTAGGTGTGATATCACACCGGCGTGTTATAAGCCTTTGATGTCAATCTAATTAGCCCTATGATTTTTGTCCTTTGATCAGTGTTTGTAACTAGTGTTAAGGTAGTCTCTTTGAAGTTGTGTGAGACTGTCTCGCACCCCGTCCTCCTCCCACCCCGTCCCCCTCTCACCTCTTCTGTCACCCCCTTCCTTTTGCTGTGATGTCAGAAGATAGTGAGGGGTGGAGTTAGGTAAAAAAAGAAATCCGTGCAAACTAGATAAAAAGCCAGTCATTTCCAATCACCAAGTCACCTAAACTTTCAAAAAAGAAAATGGCAAAGAGACGCATCGATATGGGTTTAATCAGCGAGACGCCTGTGACAACTTACCGCCATCCGTCGGGAGCGCCAGTCAAGAAATGGATGCAGTATCTGTGCCGTGTTCAAACCCCTCCGTCTGAGGCTCTTCATGAAAAATGGAGTCTGGAAAATGGAGATGTTTGGGGTTATGTGTTCAACTATATGGCGAATGAACTACATTTCTACAATCTGAAGAATGGAGAAACTTATGGACCCCGCAGTGTTAAAGCGACGTTGACCTCAACAGATTGGGCTGTGTTAACTCTGGTGTCTTCCAGAGATCTCCGTGCAACCGTTGTATCAGAAAAAGCAGTGCATCAAGAAACCATCGTGGATCCATTGTGGAGTCGTTCAGGCATCGTACGTGCAATGTCCATGAAACCTGCATCAAAAAGCAAAGAAACGCAAACTGTGGTCTGGATGTGTGAGACTGTCTCCCCTCACACCCCTCCCACCCCTCCCCTCCCCCAGCCTGTCATCTCCTGATTTTGCTATCAGCCATTAATTCTCATTCACTAAGTCACCTAAAAAAATAGATTAGTTTTAATATGATTTGTGTTAACTAAGGATGTTCTCTTTAGTTGTATGGCTTGCGAACTAATGTTTAATTACTTTATTAACTACAAGGGACTCTCTTTTTGAAAGAGGGTAATAATAATTTAAAGATCTTAATGACCCCAAGGTATTGTCTTTTTTATTGTTTAATTACTTTATTAACTATAAGGAAGATTTACTGGTGTGCTTCCCTAGATGATGTAAATAGTCTAAGTGTCATGTTAGGGGAACATTACGGAACTCAGGAGTCCGCCCTTGGAGACTTGGAGAGCGGATAAAGAGAGGTGTATTTACTGGTGTTGAGCCCTGCATGATGTAAATAGTCCAAGTGCCATGGTAGGGGGACATTACGGAACTCAGGAGTCCGCCCTTTGAGGCTTGGAGAGCGGATAAAGAGAGGTGTATTTACCGGTGTTGAGCCCTGGATGATGTAAATAGTCCAAGTGCCATGGTAGGGGGACATTACGGAACTCAGGAGGCGCCCTTTGAGGCGTTGTTAACATTAATGCTTTTTGCTTTTGTTTTTGTTACTAAGATACTTTTTAGATACACTTTTGAAGTGAGCAACACTTTACAACTGGTAGAAAGTTAAGTACTTTGTATGGAATTGGGTTTTCTTTAGAGCTGTTTTCAGTGAGACAATGCAGTTTCTGATCATTTTAAGTTTCAAGGCTTTATGGCTTTATGGCATATGCCCATTAGCTACAGTGTAGATATGTCAATGAAAAACATAGGTCACAGGCTCCTCCAACAGTGCAGCAAATATATATATATATATATATATATATATATATATATATATACATATAGAGCACATAAAACAGATCAAATACTGTAATAGAATGTTTTGATATGACAGATTTGTGCGTAATTCTCTCACAAAGGAACTGTAAGATACACGTTTATGTATGGAAAACTTTATAACTTGGTAAAATATTCATTAATTTGTAATGAATTGAGTTTCTTAAAGAATCAAACTCTAAATGGAGAGTTTGTGATTTTAACACTGTTTCGATGAAACAATGCAGTTTTGATAACTTGACTTGACGAACATTAGTCTTTTTAAATATATGTTTTTAGATGCTTTACTTTGATTTCTTTCATGTTATTTTAACACAACATTACTTTTTTCATATTTTTCAACATACTGTGATATTTTGTTTTTTCTCTCCTTTTTCCATTATATTTTTGAATATACAGTGATTTTTATCAAATACAACATGCAACTAATACATTATACAATATTACGACTTTTTGCGATATTTTCAACACAATATACTTGTACCTTTTTTTTTTTTGTAGGGCTTCAGGATATTTGGCATGTCATGCATAAAACCGGTGTCATCTTTCCTGAAACTGACGTGCTGTCCGTTTTACAAACAAGTTATCTTTCTGCTTCTTCACCCTCTGAATTGTCCTCCCCGTCCCTCTTCCTTCAGCCATCACAACAACAATCAAGTCAGATCTGTCAAATTAAACACCTCTTCCCAAAGCGTGACTTCCCTATTGAGGGAGTGGGGCAGTAGGGCCTAACCCAATTGGCCAAATATACTAACATGCAGAACGTATGGTATGTTTGAAAAAGACTAACCATGTGACATTGCGCTCTGACTTTTTCCCGTAAAATCGTGACAAACTATTACTTATTATTAAATTTCACCTCTTGCTGCTTGGTTGAAAATGATAGATGAAAAATAACTTTTTAAAAAGAGTCAAACAGCGAGGGACATTATACGGGTGAAAGAAACTCTCATTTCTACAGATGACTCATTTCTACAGATGACTCCCCCCCCACTCAACGCAATAAGTCCCACCCCACTCAGCAAATCATCCAAAACTAAGGACCCCACTAAGAC